GAGTGCCTGGGCAGCTAATGTGAAACATGTAAGCAGTCACTTAGTGTGCTTACGTATCTAGTGATTTAGTTAAACATTACAAACGCATTCACTTTATGAAGCGGTAGTAACCCAACTAAGCAGTTCTTTCCTGACACCTCCACATCAACTAGGAAGATTCAGATGAATTACATCAGACTTACGTTTACATCTCTGTAGTTGAGATTGATAACTAGACCGAAAGGACGACCACCCATAGGCTCAGCAGGGATGAAAGAGTACTCAAACGTGGCTTGTCTCTGTGGTGGAACTACTGTGTTCAGAGAGAGAGCTGTGAAGTTCTGGATATAAAACTGGTAGTCTTGGGGATACCGGAAAGAAGCATCGAGAGACTCAACAATGAAATCCTCTGTACCCTTATTGGTGAAGCCCACCAGAAATTTTACAATGTTGTTCGCTGGAAAGTCTGAAACACGAAAAAATATCCAACTATTAGAAATTTCATACACCACACCTAGCCAATTTCTAAACAGAGAGCATCTAGAACAGACTGTGGTTTTAGAGCTTCACTGTTTTACGCAAACAGATATAGTCTAAGCATTGGTAAAGAGGACGGTAGATTAGCAGGGGACTCTTACCTTCACCTTTCACAAATAAGATAGTTGTATCAGCACTAGGTGAGGCTTTAGGCTCTCCTGACAAGTCTTCTTCCTCTTTTTCTTCTGTCTAAGACAAGAGACTTTTTTGAAAAAATCCTATAATGAACAGTGAAGCAAAGACCATGCTTGGTTCATGAGAATCCCATGCGGCAAAGCAAGCAACAACGGCAAGTACCAAATCCTACTGTTGCAGGATTAGCACAGTCAGTCTCCCTCTAGACTTGATTAGCATCATTTTCAGCATTTCTCTTTCTATTTGTTATATTTGACACAGTACTAATCTGAACTGCATTTATCTCTATTGAAAAGGTTTATAATCAGAAAGCATCAGCATGGTTTCTGTTTGGGGGCAGAAGGAAAAGAATAGAGTCTAAATGTTAAGTGTTCACATCTAAGATATTTCTATTTAGAAAACAAGAACTTCCAAAATACAGACAACCATATGACAAACCAGAGTTACTTTCACCATAGAGGGAGTGTTTAGTAGCTTTCTATTCAGTTTTCATTAGTTAAGTGTATGTATGCCTGGAAACAGTTAGACTGTTGGAACTAAGCAAGTTCATGGACCCACTTGTTCAAGTTCACCTTCGTGACGATGAACTTTTTAATTTGGCAAATGCAAGCATTAAAGGCTTATTTTCCACTTTGGGATCATGGGATCATCACTGCCCCCACCAAATAAAAACAAGGCTGACCTAATTTTGAACAGTCTCAGCTAACCGCTTGCAAGTCAGACCATTTGATTTCAGTGCTTAAACGACCACCTGAAGCAGTGGATATCCTACTGGACCTGTCGTACACATACCATGAACTCGAGAACCAGAGCTGAGCACCTAGCATCTTGATTTCAAGTATATCTTCTCTTTCAGTGACAAATAAATGTCTAAAAAGCGTAATGCTTTGTAACCGAGCCATAAACTATTTATTAAAAGCAAAATACACTCAAAAGGTTATTTAATAATACTCTGTCAGTACTGACATAGCATACCTTCCACCACTTAACAAAGCTGGTCAACCATAAACTCACCAGCTTATCAACATCAGTAAAATCTGATACAACGAAAGAACAGTTTACCAGGTCTATGTTCTTATTACGCGTCTTTGCCTAATAATGTCCCAGACTTCCTTATTTGAGAGAATTTTGTACACTAAGTGTCTAGCAAACCTAATACTCAGCTGCTATAAGCAGATCACAAAACCACATAAAATATTTCACTTTTTTGTTTACAATTTTTTTTGTTTGTAATTTTTTTTGTCTTGTAAATTAAGTTTAGTTAGCAGAATTCTTTTACCTGTGTTGTCTTGTCTGATTAGTTTTGCTTAGCATAAATAACTAAGGTTTCTGAAGCCTTAGGCTGCAGCTGCAAACTTTCACCTTGAAAAGTTGAACAAATCTTGAACTGTTGCTTAGCTATGTGAAGGGAGGCTGGGAGACCAGCACAAACTGAAACATTAGGAAGCCACAACTGTCAGCAGAAGATGCAACCCATCCAGACAAATACAGCTAGAGAAATAACTCAATAAGGAACAAGAAGACCCCAGAAAAAAAAATCACCATTAAACCAAGAGGCACGTGCAAAGTGCACGAAGAACAGGTGCACAGGTTGTAAGAGTATAAAAGCCCAGGGATTTTGTTCAGGGTTCTTTTCCAGAGGGACTCAGCTCAAACTGTCCCTATTGCAGTAGCACTCAATTATTAAATTATTTTTTCCTGGAATCAGACATCTGAGACTCTGCTGAGAGAAAACTTATGTCAAAGAAATTTTTTTAACGTTTGCCAAGCTGAAGCAAGTGACCCTAAACAGCAACATGCTCACAACATACCCTGCAACAAGTGTCAGAGGCTAGGAATGTAGCAAGTGAAAAGGGGCTACAAAACAGACGTTCTGTTGCCCCTGGAAAGTAGATACAAAGAAGCCAGAATTAAGTAGACCCACAGCGCAATCTTTTTCTCAGTTTACTGAGGTGCAGCTTAAGCTAGAAAAGAACTACAGGGGGCTCCCATGAGAATCTGTTTCTCTCACTTGGTGTTCTTTTTTGTGACCTATAGTTTTGGCAGGATGTCCCCATGTGGTTTCTCAACTTGTAATTCAGGAAGAAAAGATAAATCCTTTTGACACTTCAAACTGAACACAAGCTTAATCAGACACGTGGAAACAGCTACTTGAAAATAACGTTACTAAACTCATACGTAAATTATCCAGCTTGAAGCACTTTTGGTCTAATTCATACTTCTGAAGTAACGCTCATGTAAAATTACCAAGTCTGTTGGCTCATCTTCTTCAACTTCAGCTTCATCATCTTCATCTTCAACTACAGTATCTTCCACAGCTTCCTCATCTTCTGTAGCATCTTGAGCTGCAGCTAATAAACCTGAACCTATCAAAACAAAATCCAAGAAAGCCTTTTTAATGTCTAGTTAATGAATAGAAAACTGACACTGAAATACAATTCTCAAACTAATGTTTGAAGAAGTTCTTAAAAATCTGTCCAGTACAGTGTTTTGAAGCCTTAGTTGCAAAAACCTCACATTAAAATGATGCCTGGGTTGATCTTTCAGCATTATTCCTTCTCTAATAACTTTCTCACCTACTCATTTATCTGCCGGCAAGTTGAAAAGCAAAAAGTTTACAGTTGGATGACAAAAAAAATCAGCATTCACTCAGCAATGCTTAAATTTGCAGAAGGCAACAAATTTGCCTTAAAAGCTATTGCTTAATTTTGGAACATGTTAACATATGAAAATATTTTAATTTTGTAATTTAAAAAGTGAAAATAAGACATTGCTATTGCCAGGAAATTAATTTAGTAAGTACTGTTTCTTCTAAGACTAGCAAGTCTACTAAATGATTAGCATACTGATAACAGAACAGCCCACTTTGAAAGGTAGATTAAAAGTTATTATTTTTGCACGTATTTTCACTCAAGTTTTAAAATATAAAAAAGTCTTTTTTTAATATGACCTCAATATAATGTACTAATATAACCATATATGCAACAGAACCACAGCATTAGTCAGGAAAGAAACCTGACCTAGAGCAACGCTCCAAGACAAGTGTAATCTGATAGTTCATTGCCTCTTTGCTTTCATGGAGCCAAGCCTCATACATTCAAACACTGGGCAAATATGATTAATAAAAATATTGGCCACGGGACAAAGTTCTGTCCCTTCGCAGTTTACAGCACATAGAGGCAAGGCTGAGAACTTTTAAAACATGTGCACAAAACTACAGATTTTTTTTTGTTAACAAACCTAACTTTTTCCACATATGAAAAAGTAGAAATGAACGGATGATTGATTTACCCAAGTCTGAAAAAGATCTAACTGCTATAAATATGCATTTAAAATAAATATTTAAAAATTTTCACTGGAAATAAGAATCCTTGAGCAGGACAAGTATATCCGAAGACTAAAGAATTGTCAGTCAGCGCTAGAAAAAGCAAACACAACCCCTCAAGTGTCTTCAGAAGGTACACTCAAAGACTTTTGCTCGAGCACGTGCAATACTTAACTTAAGCCTTAACTACCGTGATTTTATTTGCTGAAGTTTTCAACTTGCAAGTGTACGAAAGACTATTTCAATTTAAAAATGAACAGGGTACAGGTAAGCCATAGGCACCCTTTGCTGCCCAGCACACTCTTTCATATCCGTAGCTTACAGTCTTTTCAATGGATGTCGGAGGGGCTGATGATGATGTGGCAATAGCGGGAAAGGAGAGCTGCCGGCTGTGGGAAGGGACTATCACACGGCATGTGCTGCAGCCCACTGCAAGAGCTGGATGAGAAGCCTCCCTTCCCTCTCCTGCCTTCCCAAACTTAGTAGTAGGGAGGTAATTTCCAGACCGTGAATCAGATAACGCTGCAGCGTAAACAGAGATTAGCGCTCCTCGGTGTCGCCAAGGACACTCGGGGGGTGGCAGCAGAAGAGGTGGGAAGGCAGGGTGGCAGCCAGCGCATCTGCTGGGGAATGTGGAAACCAGCACCGCCGAGGAGCGGCGAAAAGAACAAGCCCGCTGCCCCGTCCCCAGGCGGGGTCTGGGCGGGCCGGTGTCACGGCCGGGACCGGGACCGGTGACCTGGCGGCAGCCGCAGGGCCCTGCCCGACACCGCGGACGGCTCTACTGGGAGAGACGGGGGCCCGGCCCCGCACCCCGCCGGGGCGCCCTCGGACGGGGCCGGGGCCCCGCAGGCACCGGGCCGGGCCCCGAAGCCCCGGCGGCCACGTGCGCGGTGCGCCCGGGGCGATGAATGAGCAGCGCCCGCCGGCTCCGGGCGGGAGGGTCGCGCAGGCGGCGCTGGGCTCCGCAGGCCCCGCGGGAGCGGCTCCCCCTCCCCGGACCGCCAAAGGGATCCCTCCCGCCCCACCACCGCTCTCCCGTGCCCGGGCAGCGCCGGCCGCTCACCCGCCCGCCCTCACCTGGGCCGCCGCGGGCGCCCCCGAGCAGCAGCGCGGCAGGGAAGACGAGCAGGACGAGCAGGAGCAGCTGCGACAGGCGCCTCATGATGGCGGCGGCAACGGCCCGGCACCCAACGCAGCCAGCCCCGGCGGCGGTGGGTGGCGGCCGCTGCGGGATTGTCTAAATGGCGGCGAGTGCGGGAGCGGGCGCTGGGACCTCCTCCCGCTCCTCCATCCGGGGCCGCGCCCGCCCCGCTCCGCCCCCGCGGACGTGGCTCGGCCGGGCAGGAGGCGCGGCGGTCACGTGGGCGCTTAGCACACGTCTGCCCTCAGCCGGCGGCGGCGCGGGCGCCTCCCGATCCACCCGCGCCGCCCCTCCCACAGGGAAGTGGGCACGGCACCGAGCCTGTAGCAGTTCGGGGAGCCTTTGGACAACGCTCTCATCCACCTGGTGTAGTTCTTGGGGAATGGGGGGGGAGGGTGGTTCTTGGGGCTGTCCTGTGCAGGGCCAGGAGTCGGGCTTGGATTGATCCACGCGGCGCTGCAAAATGTGGAAGATGTAAAAATTTTCTTAAGAAAGGATGTTCTTTGATGTTTGCTCTTTGTTTTCTTTTCAAGCCTGATAACAAGAAAGGAAATTTAACCCGTGAATCACATAGCAGCTAACAATCAAGCTCTGAGTGATTTCCATTTGTTAGGAAGACTTACCTGTAGAATTGCCTTGTTAAGGTGTAGGGCTTGACATGCTTCGATGATCTCAGACCTAGGGGGAGGTTAACAAAGCTTGGGAAGAAGGATGCACCACTGACAGCGGATACAAAGAATGCAGAATTTACGTGGCACAGGAATATTTGGCAAAACTCCCAAGATAAGGAAGAAACTAATGAAGACAACTCAGCAGCTGTGCTGAAATCAGCTCCAACTGGGTAAAAGGTAATTCCAGCATGGGGGAGATCATGATGACTGGCTCACGGACCACCGACCCAAGAACCTCACTGACTCAAAAGTAGAGAAAGACCGAGCGTGCGGATTGATTAGCATGAGAAGCGAGGGAGTCATTAACCAACAGAAGATAGAATGCTAATAAATAAAGAAACTATGTAACTTGTAGCCAATGAACATTAATGCCTGTGTTTGCTAAAATGTATAAATAGTGGAAAGTTTTGATTGTTGGTGTGCTTGACTAGTGGAATACCACTGAGCACCCAGGCTCGAACAACTCTGAAATAAATAATAAATGTTTCTCTCAAGTGTGTAGTTAATGGTTTGTTGCACACTGAGTAAAGAATCCACTTTTTCTGCACAAGAGTGGGTCCCTTCCAACTTGGAATATTCTGTGATACTGTGGGAAGTGCTGCCTATGGCTGTCGGGGTGCTCATGGCCACAACAGGTGGATGGGGTGGCTGTGGGAGGCCGGGGCCACTTCTCTGCCAGCATGCCTTTGGTACTTGGCAGTGTGGGAGCCTGTACTTTGAGTTTGGGATGCTTTTAGTGCAGGGAATGCCAGTTGTGTTTGTCTTTGTTAATGTACTATAACACAGCAAACTCCAAAGGATAAGAATTTATTTTTTTTTTAGTAGATTAACATACCTCTGGAAGGAGCAAAGATAAAGCATATTACTGAAACAAAGGTGCTGTTTAAATCTTGTAATTCCATGTTGCTTTGGAATAACTGGGTTTAGGTCATATATTTGACAGTTTAATTGAAAGTTTCCCAAAGTGTGATAGGCAATGAATATGATACTGATACATTGCCTTTATCTCAGGGGACCTTTTCTTAAATGTGAGAAGGGTTATTAAGATGGAAAGCTTTCCTAGGATCTGCAATCAAAACATTCAGCAAAAACAAAAATACCAGGGCCAAAAACAACCTACAAGCTTTATCCTTCCTCCGACAGTTAATTCAGCAATTTGCGTACAGGATACAATGAAGCAAGAGTAGTTTTGATACATTCTATATTTTGAGGTAGCTTTAATTTGTCATTTGAGCATCTGCAGCTTGCTGTGATGGCAATGGTAAATGTAGTCTTGAGGCTTTCATTTTTTATTTTCACTCATTTGATTTTCAACCTGCAAATGACACTAAAAAAATTATCATAAGTAACCATTCTAACTTTTAATCTTATTTTAACATGCCGAAAACCTTACTGAAATGCTGTTAAGTATTAACTGAAAGTGGTGCATGATTCTGAAAATTGGAAAACATTCACTGCTACTGATAAAAGTATTTCTAGTCTATCCACACAGTGGTATAATATTACTTTTTCTGCAAAGGTCCTAAAGTTTGTTTAACATATAATCTTTGGCCAAACATGTTTGAGTTAACCTAGTCATGGTTTGGTTGTTTTGTGGTTTTTTTGTTTTTTTTTTTTGTGGGGGGGAAAGCAGCTAATTACTTTTTCTTCAGGAAAGTAGAAGAATACTGGCATGCTGTAGGAGATTTCCTATATAGCACTGTAGGATCTGAAATATTTTGTGTCATCTATACATTGACTATGTACTTAATGTGCTGCTTTTCCATCTGAGTTAACCACTCGTGATGTTGCTAATTAACCTGTATGGCACTCTTACTGAATTTGCACGTGGTGGGCGGCACAGAAATGTGTTAATTAAAAGTGTGTGTGGAAATAATTGAGGTACCCTGACTACCTGCAGCAAAACGCTAAGCCAAGACTGATTGCAATACTACAACTGTGCCTAAAAGCATATTAGACTGCAGTTTTTTTGTGCTAAGTACTGTACCCATATTAAACAAGTTATAATTTGAAAGAAAAGCCTGTATGAAAAACTGGAGCAAGATTCCGAGGTGGTTTTTTTTCATGGACTGCTCCACGTGTGCATTCACAGTCGTAATAAAATAAGTGTTGACAGTATTTACCGCTATTGTGACTTTTAGATTTGACATCCCTTCTGCTGGATACTAATTCTGAGAAGGCTAGTATTCACTAGGAGTTCATGTTGCCCATGGAATGTGATTGCAGTCATGTACAAGCATTGTATCCTTGCATTTTAAAAAAGGGTTTCAGTTAGAAATTACATGTAAAACCGTAACTAGAAAATATGCCTTCAGTTTCATAAAGCGTATTACAAAAAGAGTGAGCATTCCTAGTCTGTGGATTATAAATAAAGTTTACTTTTTATTTCCATTTTGAACTTCTTAAATGAATCTCCCAGATGTGTGTTTCCTCTTTGAAGATACCAGGAAAAGACAAATAACTGTTTATGTACATACAGACAGACTTATTTTTGCATTAATACTTGTTTTTGGTGAAGTGTTTAAGAACCAGCTGGACTGCCTCTTCAGCATTTACTCAGTAGCTCCTATGAGAGATGAATTCAACAAAGCACTTTTAGGAGCAGTGTCATACATAAAGTCCTAACCTGTTGTCTGCTTCTTTTATCTCTTCTTTACCTTTTTTAGTTTACAGAAGTAATTCCGTGGGTATGAAATTCTGAGATTTGTTTTTCTTTTTATTTCTATGGTTCTTTTCAAAATTACAGAGTTACTATATGTGGCAGTTAATAATTCCAATGAGAATCTTCCACTTAGATCTATCAAGCTGACATTATTTTTCTCACCACTGATTATAGGTCTGGGGAATCAACTTATTTGAAATTGATGCAGGCAGAAAGGGGGTCATATTGCAACCCCCATCCCTGGAAGTCTGTTGGTTGCTTCTGACTACGAGACAAAACTGTTCACAGGAGCTCTTAATGAGACTTGCTAGTTTTTTACCTGAATTGTGGGGGTTCTTTGAAGTTTTTTCAGGAAGAAATTTTATTTACCCTATTACAGAAAAATTGACTCAAACACACACAGATTCCTTATTTTATCCAAAAAAAAAAAAAAAAAAAAAGAGAGGTACCTCTCTGAAGACGTACCTCATAGAAACATATGGATAAACTGACAGTGTTCCACAAACTTGACTAAATAATGACTAGATGATTTTTTGAGAAATGGAAAAATTCAAATGAAAAATCTAATAAACTAGATAAATTTGTCATTGCTAACCATGTTGCTTAATCAGATTTATGGATTCCATATGCTCCATATGATGGCAACAAGAAAGGAACTTCAGAGCTCACTTTGGCCGTGTTCAAGGTTGCCCAGTTTAAGACTCTTTGTAACACTTCAGCTGAAGGTTGAGGTGATGATTTTGTAACATATACAGCTTAAAGCATAGAGTATTTTTAGCTACCAGATTTTTTTATCTTCCTTCTGCATGAAGAGCAGAAATGAAGTTGTTGACATGGAAAGATAAAAACCTATTTTTATTCTACACTGTAAGTTAATTTTTGCTACTAATTCAGTGACAGGCTGGCTGTTTGGTAGATTCATGTCATTGTGGACGTGAATTTCGTAAGTCCAGTCTTTCTCACCCAAGAAAGGATGCTACACTGTGAAATTAGAAAAGTACAAAGCTGCAGAGAGTCCTGACTTCTGAAGAGTTCCCCAGGTGCTTCTAAGTGTGTCAGTTGTGAGATGTTAGTAACAAGAAAACCTAATAGACTATCCTCTTTAAGGAAAAAAACCCTAATAGACTGTCTTCTTTAAGTAAAAGATAGAATATTTTCAGTTAGTTAAACAGTTTAGTTAACTGTTAAATTACTGTATATAAAGAATAAATAGTATGGGCAATATTTTAAAATCTGCGAGAAAACTTACCCTTTAAAAAGAGTCCAAGTGATTCAGTGGTTTTAGTGGTACCAAACTAAAGATTTGACATGTCCATTTAATTATGTTTATCTACTAATCCTTGTATGTTGTTTGAAACCTTGCTTGAAATGCCAGAGATGTCTCAACTTCAAGACTACACCTTAAATTCACATTTCTGTGAATGCAAATCACGTTGGTAGGTGTGAGAGTTTGCTTTTCGGAGCCTGTGTGGCATAGTGGCTTAGAGTACCAGCATTCCCTTTTACATAATTCAGACTCAGCATGGAATAGTTCATGAGTGGCAACGAATCTGGTGGTGCAGTTCTGCAAAGCTAACTGGCACACTTCAGAACTGCTTGTTCTGGAGAAGCTTGGGGCTTTCACAGACATGGATGTTGTTCACTAGTGGCAAGCTCTGAAGTGAAATGCTATGGTAGATTGTCAGCGCTAAAGAAAAAAAAAGGAAAGATGAAGACTTGATTAATTCCTAGATATTACACTTTATGATAATGGAAATTAACAAAGCAGGTATTTTATCTTTGTTGAATGACTTTATGTACTGTTATTGGTGCATTCAAATTGGAACTCATTCACTCTCCCAGCAGCAGGATCAGGTAGAGAATTGGAAGAGTAAAAGTGAAAAAAATCACAGATTGAGATAAAGACAGCTTAATAGGTAAAGCAAAAGCCATGCACACAAGAAAAATTAAACCAAGGAATTAATTCTCTGCTTTCCATGGGCAGGTAGGTATAGGGCCATCTCCAGGAAAGCAGGGCTCCATAACACGTAAGAGTTACTTGGGAAGACAAATGTCATTACTCCAAACATCCCCTCCTTCCCCTTCTTCCCCCAGCTCTATGTGCTGAGCATGACACCATACGGTCTGGAATACCTCTTTGTTCAGCTGGAGTCAGCTGTCCTGACTGTGTCCCCTCCCAACTCCTTGTGCACCCCCAGCCTCCTTGATGGTGGGGAGTACAAGGAGCAGAACAGGCCTTGACACTGCACAAGTGCAGCTCAGCAATAACAGAAACATCCATACATTTTCAACCCTTTTTTCAGCACAAATCAAAACCACAGCCCCAATACTAGCCAATGTGAAGAAAATTAACTCTATCCCAGCTAAAACCAGCACAGGTGTAAAACTTTGCAACATTTGCATTCCAATCTTTTCATTTCTTTTCCCCTTGAAGAAGTGAAAAAGGCCTTTTGCCATAACTTTTTATTCCCTCGTTTACTTCAAATAATAAATTGCAAAGTGTTTGGTCACTGTTTGAAATCAGGTGATTGCATTAGGTGATCTCTGTAAGTCAAAATTCCACACTTGGACTCATGTCCAGCAAAGGACCTTAGGAATGTTATTTTTCCTTTAAAGTTCTTAAAGTAACTTCTTGGTCAGAACCTTCAGCTTGAGTCAGTGGAAGTTTGTCCCAAGAAGGTAAGGGGAACTGCTGTACATAACATCTAGGACTGTTATAGATACTTACAGTGCTTATAGTATCAATGTGAAACTACAGTTAGCTGTCTGTGATTCTCTGACTCTCTCATATCTCTTTGACTCTATCATATCTCTTTCCATCTGGTAGTTTCA